CACCATAGCGTACTAAGGAAAACGTCCCAGCAGGCCCAAAGAACGGATAAATACGAGGAAGAAACAGAAGACGCGAAGGGAGCGGTCTGCTGGGGTCCTGGGGAGAAGAGGAGAAGAAGGGGGATGTGTCAAGGCGAGCAGGAGGTTGTCTCTCTCTTATACCATCGCCAGAACACCGACGTCGTCACCGAGGTACTCGCCCTGGACATTGATGGATTTGTCTTCACGGAGTGTGGCTGTGTTCTTAAAAACAACATGCCTCGGAGGTCGTATTCAAATACATCGTACAGGCCCGGTGGTCGCCGGCTGATGGCTAGTCATTGGCATACACATATGAGACATTTAGTTCTTCCTTACACCACTGTAATCAACACTTCTGGAGTATTTCAGTAATGCTGCTAGGAGATGCTAGGGATATCAGGTCAGTGCAATACGTGTGACCCCGGCAGCGGCAACTTACCAATATGCGCATAGTGAGACAAGGCGATACCCGATTGCTGGCGTTTGCAATACTCCCATTTCAACTGATGGCTGTTGCATGGCGGTGCGCCACCACACCTATCGAGGCTAAACTTGATAAGCGTACAGTCGTTTCCTGTGACGCTGCCGATCCCCGGTGGTTCAGTAGCACAGTACGTATACGTACCAGTGCACGCCGTACGGAACACTGCCGGTCAAGAGATACGAATGAAGGTTTGCTAGGTGTACACGGGTGTTTCTTCTATTCTTCTCTTACTAACTTACTGTTCATCTACTCAGAACGTCAAGACGCGATACTTTCTAATATGAGACGGCTGGAAAGTAAGCGAACGCGATGAGCAAGGTGCCACGCAACGAAGAAGCATGAAGTGGACGTACGCTCGACACCATGACCAGCGAGTCCTCGCTGATCATGACCGCATCGAAGTGCCCCTCGCCCTCCGCACCAAACGGAGTCGTCTTGCGCATAATATACGGCAGCGACGTCCGCACCTCCTCGCTGAAGATGTTCGCGGGCTGGAACGGCCTGTCGTCCTCCAGGACGAGCTTCTTCCTGTCGCCCCACGGTTTTTCTGCACCCTCGCCTCCTCCGCCCTCTTCTTGTTGTTGCTGCTGTTGCTGCTGCTCTGCCCGCGCGCGATTGATCGCGAGACGGTTGAAGTCTAGCGTCACGATGACGCGCTGCGAGCCTTGTCTGAGGGACATCGCGAACGTCATCCCGTAGACGTAGCAGACCCAGACGGACGTGTGCGTCGGCGGGGCTGGGACGAACCGGGAGCCGCTGGGACCCCACTCGGACCACTCGAACACGCGGCCCGTCTCGCCAGGCGCCATGGAGTTGATGCAGTCAAGGAAGGTCCAGGACGGCACGAGCGAGATGAAGGGGATGATGTGCATATTCCCTTCAACAACCCAGAAAGTGATCACAAAGAGACGGTCCTGGCGTGCGACATGGAAGGGCACCTTCAATTCTGGGCTCGGGGTCCAGTTGGGCGCGGGGTCGGACCGCACGGACATGGAGACTGTGGCGAAGTTGTCGTTGAGTGGCGGAAAGTGGAATGCACAGAGGTAGTCGAGGTCACTGAATTCGATCTCTTCCTGGTCTGGCATCCGCTCGAGGTCGATGACGAACAGTCGAGGATCGTCTCCGTGGAAGACGTTGTTGTTGTCGAGCTCCATTGTCGGCAAACAAGTCAAGAGGAGGTGATGGGAAGTCAAGAAAGCAAAAGACGACAGATCGGCGCCGGTGATGTACTGATACAATCTCAACCGGGTTGAACGACGTAGTCAGATGTTTGATTACTCACCAGACGGCGATGTCCAGTCTTCCAGTTCCAGACGAGGAACTCGGAATGGTCCTCGTCGCTGCTTGTCATAAGTACTGCAACACAATCCTCCGCAACCTGGATTGTATACGAGTATCGCCCTCTATGTGGAGTGTGCATCAACACCGCCGGTCGCGCCGCCGCAGGGTGCGTCTGGCCAGTAGTCAGGGACCTAAGGTGGACGGAGCATGTTATACCGGTGCTGTCCTCAAGTCAGCATTATGTATGGATACACCACACAAGATGCATCCTCTTACCCTTCTACTCGGTTTTCGATTATTATCAGCAAATCTTGCGCAGGATCCATACCAAAGTCGCGGATGTGCACCCCCACATCGTTGATCCTCCATTCTTTCCCTTCGATACCCCGAAGGCTAGAGGGCAATTGCTTAAAGACAAGAGTCCGCGAGCCCTCTCCCTGCGCCAGGACGCCACCATACAACTCCCAAACGCCTCCCTTCAACATCGGTACCTCCTCTCGCGACGTCCATGCGAGTTTGTCCATGGCTTCTTGACGCGCCTTGAGCATCCGCAACCGTTCTGCCGCGGTTACAGTGCTATACGGCCCGTCCTCCATGCCTGCGGCGGTGAGCTCGACCATATACTGGAGGCGTACGTCGTTGTCCATGAGGTCCTTGAGAAGGCTGCATACCTGTGCGCATTGACTTTAATATGCGGGGGACGCTCGTGTGGTTCGAAGTTTCCCACTGACCTGACGGCAGCGCAGTAGACTGACACAGTCCAGTTCGAGCAGGACGTTGATCAATAGCTCCGGAGGCAATGAAATGAAATTCATGTTTGCGATAGCTCAGCGAGGCGACAGGGCATTGGCGAGTAGAAAGACAAAGAGATGAAGACGTGAAAGTCGAGAGACAAGCTGAGGCCGAGGAGCTCTCCAGTCGCTGTGTCCCGATGACGGCGATAGTCGAGATCACCGAGCCGGATCTAGATCTCCATGCGCCACCGACGGGCGCTCCGGATGCGCGACCGTGCACGCGCGAACTTGTGCAGCTGCCTCACAGCACTCGATATTCAGCTCGTGCTTACCACCATTGACTTTTCTGCTACCCCGTCTTTCGCTCACCAGGATCATCTGGTGACCCACGGTCCGAGTGAGTGTCTCTGGTAACACGGCTGCGCCGAAAGCATCTCATTCCGAATTCCTGTTGTCATCAGACTCCGGCCGTACTCCACGTCGCCTGCTGCTCTCTTGAACCCAGATTCACCTCTACTTGTCGCCGTTATCAACCTCTCAAACGCTATGAGTACATCACCAGTGGTCGACCCCAACGTTCTGCTCGACGCGAACGGCATGCCCATCGAGACCTGGGGCGGCAAGTTTGAGCGCAAGTTCAAGGAGAACCCCTTCGTGCCTGTCCGTGAGTCTCCCCGCTCCTCCTCACACCACATCACCCGCCTAACAAGTACACTGCTTCCAATAACGTTCGAATGCACCTCTCTCAGTCGCCGGCCTGACCACCGCATCCCTCGTCGTCGCCGCGGCGAAGCTCCGCCGGCGCGACAGCACCTCAATGAACCACTGGCTCCGCGTCCGTGTCGTCATGCAAGGTCTCACCATCGTCGCCGTCGTCGGCGGCTCATGGTGGTACGGCCAGATGAAGCACCAGAAGGAGGCCGCTGCGGCCGCGGAGAACGAACGCGTACTCGAACGCGCTGCTTTCGAGGCCCGGCTACGTGCCGCGGAGGAGGCGGACCGCTTGGAGAAGCTCGAGGAGCAGGTACATGCAAATGCGGCGGCGGTGCAGAATGGGGGTAGCGTGCCGACCGGCGGGTGGCTTGGCGGTTGGTTTGGAAGGGGAGGATCGGGGAATGCGTCTGGCGCGAACGGCTCATCTACCTCGAGTTCATGAGCGCGGCACACGATCAGGATGGCGCTTCAAAACTATGTAGGCATCTCCCCTCGCATGATATGGCGGTCATTGCTGTGTTCTACTGTATTTTAGCTCTTCCCGTAATCTAGCACCCAGCATTTGACCTCGAAGATCAGAATAAGTATACGTCCCTGCGGACATCCAACGCAAGTATAGGTATCGACGCGCAGGATGTCATGCTCAAGAATGGGGTGTCAACGTTGTGCTTTGAATATCAGTGCATATAGGCATGTATATTGACTGATCGGGAGCAAGGAGTTCGGTGCTGTAGTAGCCGTGGATGGTGAGGTGTAGACATTGCCTCCTGCTCCGAGTATCGCACCGATGCGCTCCCTTGACCAATGCCACGCCGCCTGGACCTGTGTTGCGATTAGGTCCGGCGGAGAACATTCATGGTCGGCGATCGAAAAGGTGCTCTGGAAAATCAAAGGGTAATCAGTATGGGAGAACTCATGCAATGACTGGGTAGCATACCTATGCGACGACCAGAAGTGTAGATGGGGTATAAACCTTGCGATAGACGTACGCGAGGTGCCCTTCGCTAGCCGCCATGAAGAGTCGAGATGAAGACGATCTCGTCGCCGTCCTTCAGCTGATACTCGCCCTCGCCCTCCAGCTCCCAATCAGCATCGTTCACAAGCACCAGGATGCCCGGCCGACTGCACAGAATCCACATCAACCAAATACGCGTCAAGCAAGCGGAGGATCGGACTCACACTGTCCCGTTCTCGATGAACAGCTCCTCGCGCTCCTTGAGCAGGTTGTCCCTCAGCCAGAAAATTAAGTACGCCAGGTCTGCCGGTTTCTTTGGCGCACTGTCTTCATCTTCTCCGGACTGCGCGGTCTTCGCGGTGCCCGAGGACGCAGGAACGAGAGCGGGGACGGTAACGCGGTGCGAGCGCTGGTTAGAGAAGAGCAGCTCGAGGCCGCCGCCGAACTCGATCTTGAGCGAGAGAGTTGTCGACATTATAGCGATATATGAGGGCTGGAAGGAGACAGTGCGGTTGTCAAAGCGGTAGTGGTCATAAAATGTGAGGTCAATAAGTACCGGGTGTGGCTGCAATCCAGAATGAGAAGATCTGATCTTGACTGTCCGTTGACATGTGGGCGCTTGTTTGCCTGCAGGCTCTCATCCTCCCGGGTTCTTTAAATTTGCCTCTACGTACCTGCAAGCTCACGCTCATAATGTTCACTCGGACTTACGCTTGCTCTCAGCAGGAGTTCTATGCCTTTCATATCAAAAGACCTTGCTCAGCTACTGACTAGACAAGGACTCATCGCGTTATAATGCCACCTTTCCACCGCCCGCCTAGCTCAATCGGATAGAGCGTCAGACTCTTACGAGGGCGGGATTCGTTCTGCTCTCATCCAGGGCTATCTGAAGGCTGCGAGTTCGACCCTCGCGGTGGGCTAACGGTCTCTTTTTTCGCCAATGTGAGAGGCGAGTGGGCGTGAGTGACGGAAAGCGCTGCGAAGGCTGATCTCGGAATCAACGCGGGCTGCGGCTGCAGCCACTCAAATTCGGCGGCTCGGAAGGCACTTCCACTGGTATTGTTCCCCCTTCCAAGCAAGTTATTGTTCTCATTCGATATAGTATTTAGGCGGCATTGATCGCTGAATGGTGGCATTCCTTGCTAGCCTTCCCTCCTCTGGGCAATTCCTGGCCTTATCTCCCAGTGCACGACCTTCGTGCCACTCAAAGTGAACGGCTACAGTCAGTGTCCCGACTCAGCGATGAGTCTCATACATTTAACCTGGACACCGCTCACTGCACGTTCGAAAACGAAGATCACACGGCCCCGACTATCCACTCTCACAGCGCCCTCGGAACTATATGTATCGCCATGACTCGCATGCGGAGGTATAACGGGAACGAGGTCTTCGTGCCCCAAACATTCTCGGAGATGGAGCCAGTGAACGAGAGAAGTAAGAAAGCTGGTAGCCATGCGGTACCGTGAGCATCAATGTAATATCGCATGGTCGTAATTCTACTCATCCTCCCCGGCGCCACGCACAACAGTCTGCGAGCTCCATAACAAAGTGGTAGCGTCACTATGGAGGGCATGGACCCGATTGTTGAGGAGAGAAAGCCGTTCGCTGAATTGTTAGTCAGCTACATAGTATACATGCCGATGGGTGCGTTCGTACGAATTGGGCGTCTAGTACGGCGAGCTGATGCAATGACGACTCGAGGGTGAGCGAGATTGGCGATCGCGAGGTGCAGGCGTCTACTGAGTGCTTTCCCATGCAGGCCCTCCTAGCAAAGTCCTTTGTTCGAGCTCAATTCCAGCCTACTCTGAGTTACCATTCGACTGGCGTTATCGGATAGAGCGTCAGACTCTTATTAGGGTGGTTGCGACCTGTATCTGCTCACTGTAAGTGCTATCTGAAGGCTGTGAGTTCGACCCTCGCGGGGGGGGGCTGCGGGAGAATCCGATGACGATATTTTGCCCCTACTGTACTATGCTTTGAACGTTCTCAATTGTAATCGTCAAATGAAGTGTTTTGTATGGTCCGATCTGGCGGAGTTCTTGGACGATCTGAGATCGTCAGTCCGATTTAGTCGTACCGCTCCACGTGGCGTGGCTCCCGAGTTGATGTTGATTCCCAGTCTGACAGGGTCGACACTCACACTAGACGTCGTGCCTTCTCCCAAGTTTCTGCTCAGTGACATACTACTGGTCACCTCACGGCACAGCTTTGAACGTGAGAGCTCAGCGGCATGCCACTCACTCTCAAAGGGTACTCCGCTTCCATCCGCTGTGAAGACAAAGACTTAGAGGTCTACGATGTGCGCGTGGAAGGTGAGGACAAGGTATCGTGCTGGATAGCTAGTGAGGCAGGGAAGGTGAACTATAGCCTGTGTCCTTTTGACTGCGCTGTATCGTTGGCTAATCCCAGGTCCATCATTAGACGTTCACCGTTCATTACGGCGGCGAGTCTGCTGAGACGCTCATGTGTGTTCATACCCACATGGATAGTCGGCTTGTGCACTTAAGAGCGCATACTCGTTGTCGCACGGGATCTGCAAAGTACGTTCACATAAGTGCTACTGAAGTACGCCCCTTTTTATTCGCCTCGCTTGTCCTCACAGGTCAGTATGCCTTGGTGTTTCCCTTGCTGCGAGTATTGTTGGCACTGACATGTCTTCCAGACGATGAGGCGACGGCCAGTACTGAAGTGAATGGGGAGCTAGGAACAATAAGCATCAAGATGTTCCGTGTCAAAGCCTTCGTCGAGAATCAAGCTCCATATACAGGTACGAGCGTCGCTAATATCGGCCCCGTACACGAAAGAAGCAAGAAAGCTGGTGTTCATGCTGTTGCGTGAGTCTACACTGTGTGGACCCCTGTCACTCACGATTGTCAACAATGGCACCTATTAAGTTTCGGGGATATCATAATGAAGGAGCCTCAAACTACGTCGCGAGCAATCGAACAAGAGTGCAAGCCATTTGCTACATTCGTATTTCATTACAGACCGATAGGTATATCCTCACCTGACTCCTGATCTTGGACATCTCAATATTTCTGACTCTGGGCAAAAACAGAGCACTTGCAAGCACTTGGAATCGTTCCGCTTGCATCGCTTCCGCCGGCGTCGACGCAGGTGAAACGGCACCGTACGGACCTTCCCGAAAACGACTCTCACGCGGGCTCTAGCAAACGGAAGAAGCAGCGTAAAACCTCGTCAGTGAAGTCGGAGGATAAGAATGACGTCGGCGATGAGGATGCAGACGATCTTGTATCCCTTGAGGTAATGGTCATCAGACTGCCTGAATCATGAATGAGCTCTGATTCATAGACATGCGTCTACAGCAACAACTGGCTGTGATGCAGAAGCGGGTCGAAGAGGCGAGACAAGTGCGAAAGGCCAGAGCGATCATCAAGCGGGAATTGTCTCCCATCCGCTTCCCGCCATCCCTTTCCGGAGAAGTCATCGACCTTACAAGCGACTGAGTCTGAGTGGAGCTAGCACAATTTGAACGCTGTAGTACCCCGGGTATTTCTGATCTCGCTCCCCCTGCCGCTCCAAATATTGATATTCTGCAGCATTGCTCGCTTTTCGTGGTTGCCTGTGCTCTCCCGCATGTACCGGGTAGTACAGACATGATATATCAACTATCGCCCGCCTAGCTCAATCGGATAGAGCGTCAGACTCTTACGAGGGCGGGATCCATTCCGCCCTCCTCCAGGGCTATCTGAAGGCTGCGAGTTCGACCCTCGCGGTGGGCTACGAGGAGAACCTCTAGGCGTATTTTTTTCGCTTTTGTTTTGCCCGCAACGCTCGAGTGCCAACTTTTTGCCTCGGGGCTCTCGAGCGAGATTCGTCGATCGTTCCTGATCGACGCATCTCGGTGATCGCGATCCAGTGCAGACGCCCATGCTACCATGTAGCCACAACCACGAGAAAGCGTCCAAGAACCACTTGAGTCGTTCCTGCTACCTCTGTGATATATGCGCTCTAGGCAACGTTCTGGTCTGCGATACCCATACGCAACTCAACTTTATCGCTGTCTCTTCAGGCGTGGCCAATGCGAGCCTCAGTAATATTTGCCATATCATCTTCGGCTCTAACCTGATGAAACTCGTACGACCGAGTCATCGCACCAGTACGTACGGTACTCTATGTATGATATCAAGCTATCCTGGAACCTCCACGGATGTCCTAATTCGTGTACTGTAGTCATATTCCAGGGAGATATGCACAGAGTGCAAGTCGTATCGTATACAGCGCCCGCGGATTGAGAGGGCTGTATGCATGGATCTGTTAGCGGAAGGTGACTAGAGTGAGACAGGCTGGGCGGGCGGCGGTACTGACGTTCAAAGAAGGAGCGAACAGAGCTTGTGCGAATGCGAAACGCGGCGCGAGTCTTGAGATCTTGAGAGCTCTACGGCGCCGTCGAACTTGAGAAATGCAAAATGGCCATCGTAGACGCGAGAAGGCGACGCTGGTCGAGCCTGTGAAGGAGCGCGAGTTGATGCGCTGGAGTGCTCGATTGGTGAGACCACGAGCGTCCATGGGTCTCAGGAACAGGCCGAAGTCGCATGACATGGGCGGAGAGTCGCGCGTCTGCACGATAGACCGGAAGCAAGTCCACGGAACCAATGCATACTGCACGGCGCCTCGAGCGGTATCGACACCTCTGCGGCTTGCGCGCAACGTACCGCAGACACCCATGCGGTGACATAGACTGGACGCCTCGATGCAGTCATCAATCTGATGTGTAAGTGCGCGCTACTTACACACAATGGGCGGGCTTGCCTCTTGAGGTGAGCACGTTGGGCGATTCGACCGAGCAAGGAATTTGCTCACTTACGGACACGAGGTCGGTCGTGACTCCTGGAGATGACGCTCTGAGAAGGAATAAAAGGCTCAGCTCGATGCGCCGCACCTTCATTCCCCAGTCCTAGGACTCTCAAGCACCCAGCTGTCACGCTACTCCACCTCTGAACTATATCAGCACGCCCTGTTGTTTCTCCCGACAGCCCATGATGCTCACCAGGTACTGTAGCATCCCACCATGCAATTCAACCTCGCATCCATCGCCACCCTCGCTGCCATCGTCGGTGCCGCCCTTCCCACTGCCTTCGCTACCGCCTGCTACAACGCCGGAGGATGTCAGCAGTGCGAGACCGAGACCAGCATGTACGACGCCCGGCAGTCGTTCTGCGGGAGCAACGACTGGCAGGGCAGCACGTCCATCGGGTGGGGCTGGGGCCGCGTCACGCTCGACGGCTCGTTCGCGACCTCGCAGGAGTGCTTCGACGGCTTCAACAGCATTATCCAGACCTGCTACGGCAACAAGGACGGCGGAGTTTATACATACGAGTATGACGGCCACGACGCACGTCTTGACGTCAACTTCTGCGACTGCGAGTGAATAGTGCCGTCAGCATCGCCGCATTCGGGGGTCTCGAACATGGAGGGCTCGACTAGAAGGTCGGGTTGGGGAGATTGAGGCGAGGTGTGGTATGATGTGCATCGATATGCAGCGAGGCGTTCAACCGCCTGAAATTGACTCGAGTTGCGCGACTCCAATTCTTTTCCAAGGCCTTGGATGGGACCAACAGCTGGAGTCTGTATCGGTCAAACGTGATCAGAATGCGCATAGAAATATGCGGACACTTTTTGGACGCTTCAGGGCGTACCTAGACTTGAGCGGTGTCATCACACTGCCGCACAACTATGAGACCGAATGTAGAGAAAGCAGACTGGAGTCAGCGTCTTCATGCCTAGTACCGTGTGGTATACAGCCCAGACCGACTTGCACTTATGACGGCCACCAGCATTTCTGTGGCCCGGATATGCGGTATTTGATCACGAGCCCCCAGTACGATGGTGCGGCGCAGAGTTCGAGCGCGTTCAACAAGTATCCTGTGCAATGTCTTCGACGGGCGCGGTCCAGAGA